AGCGCAAATTATCGAGTTATAAGAATTTTTATTGGAATATAATTGACGATTGGTTACATGGTCATCCGGGGATGTCCGATTAAATTAAATTGAAACTTGTTGGATACCATCAAATGTGTTGCTTTTTTCAAAGGTTAAATCAAGTAATTTTCTAAATTGCTATATATGACAAATAATTTGCTTAAAAAATTTGTATTATATTATTGACATACCCCAATTTCACATATAATCATACTGAAAACAATCATATATGGAGTACATATGAAAAACTGGATATAATTTTTAAGTTATACATAGATAGTTTTCATTTAATATTTTTTTTAAACTGAACTACACATTTATTCACAAGATTATCATAAATATATTGGACTGATCTTTCTACTCAATATCAAGCGGATTCATCATATGGAATTCAAGGAATGATCTTACATCATTCAATTCATACAACATCTGGAATTCAAGGAATGATCTCACATATATCAATTCATACAAAGGTGATATATGTGTTAATGTATACAAAATCTCCACCTCAATTGATGTTACAATCTAAGAAAGTTAAGGTTGATTTCATTTACAAGGTTTTGTAAATAGAATATCAAAAAAGTATAAGAAAGTTCTACACTATATAATCTTAGAGTCATTTATTACATATTTATTATATTCATTTGATTGAAACATACATAATTTTTTAACATCATTTGCAATACAGTGTATAGGAAAAATTTAATAAAGCTTTTCATTCAAAATCTAAATACAAAAAGTGATGAAAAAATCCTACTTTTTTAATAAATGAAAAACCATCATTTAAATATATTTTTATTTATATTCAACTCAGAAAATAAAATTGATAATACTTTAAACAACATTTAGTGTGTACATATCACAATTTAAGTTCTGTATGTAATTATTACAATAATATAAAGATAATTTTTTTAAGTTTAGAAGATTTCTATGTAGAAAGTATGTTTGTAAATAGTTCAAAGACAAACGTAGTTAAAATCACCAAAACTACTATAAATTTGGGAGATTTCATGTAAGGATTGAACTTCATTAAAAAGTTGCCCAAATTTTTAATCAAAATCTCTTCATAAAATAGAAATTCTATATAGATTTCTATGTTGCGGTTAACTCTATATGCGGAGTAGTGTAACCATTTATTCATAATAGTCTGTTAGGATTGGGGTTTTTAAACCCCTTGTTGCTCGTCTGTTTGCCCCCATTGCGTATCTTATCAAAGTTCATTTAACTTTGCCCGTGTACGTAGCCACTTACTCGTGTACACTCTTCTTTTTTTGTATTTTTGAGTGCTTATTATCATATAAAATTATAAAATTATATGGAAAAAATAATTTCTTATTTCTTATATTAAAAAAGATTCACTCATAAAATTAATTGCTGAAAAATAATCAATACATTTAAACATCAAAAATTTATTTTTTTTATCTCAAAAAATTGCACATTGCTTTTGTAAGAATTTCTTTTTTTGATGGTAATTCTTACAAATATATTTATCAGATTGATTTTTTATTACAAAATATTTTACAAAAATAAATTTTTATCTCAAAAATAGCCAACAGTAGTTAATATCACATTTAAAATTTGCTTAAGATAAGTGGTATAACTTTATATAATTTTCAATTAATTTAAAAATATTTTTTCTTCAATTTTTCTCAAAATAAAAAAAATACTCAAATTGATTCTTAGGATATGCATATATTTTATTAAGAGAATGTTAGGTATATGGATTTTCAAAAATGTATTCAAAAAGTGGAATGAAATGAATATGAAAGTAGAATTTTGATGAAATATTTTTAAATTTATATGTGCTAAATATTGAAATAAATCATTTTATAAATATGGAAATACTTTCCAGCTTATTTCAATAAAAAAAAAGATAAATAAATCATAATTATTAATAAACGCATTACATTTATGTTATACTGAGAATGGAGTGAAGTTTTATAACATTTAGATCAACTAAAAAAATACCATTTTTTGAATTTACTCTGTTTTTACTGAATTTACTCCTTAAAAATAATCTTCTGTTTGAAAATTCAAATTTGATTTGAGTCCAAAAAAACTAGCCTTTTTCTTTTTTCTATGTCAATTTTTTCATATTACTTTTAACATATATCTAAAAAGTCGTTTCCTGATTGAAAGACCTTGTAAGTCGATGAATAAACAAAAAAAATTCCATGAAAAAAGGAATTGATCTACATTAGAAGAGAATAATCTAGATAATTACTAGCATTATTTAGATGCATATAGTAATCAAATTAATTTTGACGTGTGAAAAGTTTTTTCTCAATAGAGGGGAAAAAATTCTTTAGGATTTTTACGTCTAAAGTAATTCTTCTCTTGATAAACCACGAGCATTTATTGGTACCAAACATTTTCAATTAAATCTGTTCTGATATTCACTGTGTCATTCTATGAACCGATTATAACTAAGCCATCTGTATCTTAACCTCCAAGTCATTTTATCGTGTAACCTGTCATGCATTGATTCCCTGTTTTACCTGTAAGACTGAGCCATATTCCATGTCCTTCCAATTGATTCCTGCACTTCTTTGATTGAAGCAATCATAATACTTACTTTCCTTTGAGTCTATAATAAGTGACATCACAGTTGGAAAATAAAATCATTTTGAAATCATCAATTGCACGAAAATGTGATTCTCCAGTGAGGTGATCAAAACGAGATTTCACCGCAAGCATTTGATAGAACTTTTCACACTTTGAGAAGATAGATCAATAAAGATCTGCATAGATTTTTATGAAATGCCCAAAATTATTTCAAGAAATTATGGCTTGCATGATTGGTGCAGCATATATGTTATATGATATAACATATGAGCTGCTCCGAGGCTCAGTGTCTCAGATATTGACCTCATTAACCTTCAGACAGAGCACATCAAGTGAAGTCCTTTTCTGCAGCGTTCGTCATGAAGTGGAGGGTCGCATCTAAGGACCAGCGTCTTCAGATTCGCCTGACCTCGGATTTTGTAACAAACCAATGAATTAGAAGCAGAACCAAACAACTCAGGACACAGATGGCGGCCTGAGTCGTTGTCCGACACCTCGGAAATTCTTCATCGCATAAGGGGACAAGGGATTTTCTGCCTAAACTGATCGACAAAGCTATTCTCTAATCTTGCAAATTGAAATCGTGGTCCCCCACGATTTCAACTCCTCCTGTCGCGAAGTGATTCAGAACTGTCGAAAATACTTAGACTGGAAATGACGTCCGACAAAGCTTGGCTGAAGTGATTTCGTCGTGACACCAAGTAGTATAGAAAAAATTCGAAATGAAATCATCAAGCACAATGGGGCCAAATGGAAGAATGCTAATAATAGTACTCATCAATTCCCACAAGAAGTAAATCATCGGCTTGATTACCAACAGTGACATAATCGGAAAACTATCTTCTATCCTATCCCAAATATGAAGGTTTTGAAACAAGACTGACATACGATGTTTTATCACCTACTATCATCGCCATTCTATCCATATTAGCATTAGCTAGCACTGCACAAAGGTTTTAATCCTCTTTGTGAAATTATAGTTAAAGTGAGTTAAATAAAATGATATGTTATAGTGCTTAGCATCATAATATATTGCATCTTCTTTCATAAACATGTGCAAATCTGTATCCATTCTTTTGACCATACAGATTATAGATATATAGTTATATTTAACACATGTAAATCACAGTCTAAAAATCATATCGTGAATTTTGTAATTAATATACTCAAAAACTATTATCATCTTACTTGTCACCTTTTGAAAAGTTGAAGATTGATATTCAACTCTTATGATAAATGTATCACGTCTAGAATCAAAATCATCAGAATGTCTTTAATCGTAATTTGACTCTCCACTCAAGTTTATATGTCTTATTAACTGTAACATACTACCCACTTTGCCACCAACTTTACTACCAAACATATGAGATATCCAGAAGACTTTGCAAATATCACATCCTTAATAATTTCACACTTACCTATTATTCGCCCATCATCTTTGCATCCCGTCATTTCGAATATTTGATGCAATTAGATTAGTAGCAAATTTAATTCTGGACAATGAAGACATGTAACATGATCAACAATAAATTCATCATTGTAAAAAATTAACTAGTGCAAATGAACAAACCAAATTATATGGTTCAGCCATGATTGTTTCTCATTTTCAAAACAAGAACCCCAAAAAAATATTTCAATATAATACTACAGATTATTAAATACTAATATAGAGTATGCTAAAACTATGGATACCTCAGAATATATTATCAACCCCCAGTTCAAATGACGGAAAACGAAAAAAAATGTGATATTCGGTTGTTATTGACTGAATTTTTCCTTGAATGACAACTTAGTATATGTAAATGATATCATCATGTATGTCTATCCTTTGAGAATTCAACCATAATACAATGATAATAACTCAACCTTCTATATGGAATTTGCAAAGATGAATGATATGAAATTCAAGCATTCTATAATATAGGTGTTTATTGGATCTATATTTTCAGGCTATGTTTTCATCAAAAGAGATTATCTCTCTACGCTTTCTTGTCGTCCTCGCGGTGGGCGTTTGGCGCCACCGAGGCTTGCATGTTGCCATAAGATACGTATTATTTACAAGGGGATATTTATTTCGCAGTCTGCACTGACTAGACTGTCATCCAGATTGCGATGAAATTCTGTGTGCTTTTCGTTCGTACACGGGCAGACCAGCAGACCAGTGATGGATGGTACTGAACTGAACAGGGGGGAGTGGAGTGCTGGAGGTGTACCGCCTAATACAGTATATGGAAAGAGGTCTCAGAAACAGAGTCATGTTCAATGATTGTGACTTCCGTCAGCGGCTGCTGGAAGGCTATGAATGGAGCCCCAGCAGCTACGTGCTTCCAAAGCTTCTGCAGGCTCAAAGTTCCCAGACTTCATGGGCCAATAAAATTATTCGTTCTACACTTGAGAGCTGCCCATCGCGCAGTATGGGACAGGCGGCCGAACCAGGACCTGCAAAGATGGATCCCAGGAAACACCTGCAGCTGAATAAACTACTGAAAGTGATTGCAGTAATGTCCCAGCCATTCTGAAAGATAGACGGCTTGACTGAACTGGCTTGTGCTGCTGGCTTTCGGGCTGGTTGGACCGGACCAGAACAGACCGCACCAGAAGGTACTTCTGCTGGAAAGGAGTCCTAGTATATCCCTGCGCTTTATTGCATCCAGAATGCTCAACATGATCCATGATGTTATATTCCAACGAGGAAAAGGGGGAACAAATCTAAGTATCTAAGTATCTGTGACGGAGCAAGAATCTGGTCATAGCTGCTGACTTCGCAGCTAAGAAAAGAACTCTCCCAGTGAGTTGAAAGTAAGGAACGATCATGAGTCGGAGAAAAATAGCGAACTCTTTGGTCATGCTGTAGTCCGGAGTAAAGCCACTGAACGCCGTGCGGGATTCGGCTGGAAATAGTCGTCAGTGAAGATCGAAGTTCACGCTTGTATTGCCCTTCACGATCGGTCTTCCTGTAACTGTCTATACCTTATGATTTGATATTTCGGCATCCTTCAAATTCAGATTGCTCTCATAGTATGATCGGACTTCTTCTGGCTTTTGGAAATTGTCTTCACGAAAGTTCGAACAATTTCTTTTCTTTCTTTCGTCACAGATATGTGATTGTTCAAACACGCAGGGCAGGCCAGCATCCATATAGACTGCGCACCGCTGGAGAGAAAATGGGATCCGACGACAAAGAGCATCACCTTGGAGGGGGGTTTCGAAATCCGTGGCCTTCACATTCATTCGAAGGATCTATCGCCGAGTTTTTCAGGATGATAGTCAGGGGGGTATGTATATTTGAGTTAGCAGATCGCAAGTAGCTGTGAAGTGAATTGCTCTTTCATAGATCTAATTGTGTAGGAATCTTGGAAAATTTCTTCACTCTTTACGATCAATCAAAGAACACGGTTTATTAAAGATTCTCAAGTACTATGACAATCACTGCACGAATATCGATAGTCGTTAGATTTCCACAGTATATGCAACAACTCGTGATGCCACTGTTCGGCTCAACCTGATGCTTTATGTATGTCTCGCCCTGCAGGACTGGGACAGAAGCCAAACGACACCGTCTGCGGAAGTGAGAGCACAATTGGGAACACCACTAAAAACCGAAATAGGACGGCTCATGAAACCCCCAGTTGGCCTTGTACAGGTGAGATTCAATCCAGTTTGTCTACAGCTTTGTGTTCTTGTTAAAATCGTAGGACCGAGATTCTCTGGTTGGAAATCCCAACAACGCCTACTAGCCTTGAAGTTGAAAACAGGCCACGCCAGAAGTTAGTTGTCAGAATATGTTAAACGCTTGTACAAATTGTTCGATGTCACAGGATTTCTCGGAATTAAGTCTTCTAGGTAGTTCAACTGATATTTCTAGACTTGACAGAAGAACCACCGGTTGTTACAAATTTCTCACAAACCAGTCGAGGAGGTGGAAACACTGAACTCTGGGAGAGTCAGTGTCCAGTCCGTGCAAGAGCCACGGTTCAGCACCAGCTAGATTTTGGACATTTGAAATTGTCCAAGCACCCGTGTCTGGTCCTACTTCACCCGAAGGTCTGTAAACTGAACTATGTCTAGAAATCACTGCCTCTGATACACTAACCCTAGGTATTAATTACGCAGAAGGAGTTACAAATAAAATGCACTCTGCGGAGGGATTATTTATGGTATTTTGAGAAGCGGTAAATTAAAGAAGAAATAACGCCATGAACTGAGGGTCCTCGAGGGTCAATGAGTACCCTCACTGTAGGCAAAACACGTGTCATTTGAGCACACTTTTTCTACAAAGTATTGTCTAATTTTTTTCATGCTCTCTTGACTTTAAGAAAGCATTATTCGACTTTCGAGAAATCTCAAGTCCATCATAGCGAATGTTCTACTTTTCTAGCTTCGATTCTCTCTCCGCAACTGCCATGCGCTGCATGTGCAGTTGTCATCTTGCTGAAAGCAGAACGTCCTTTCAAATTGAAAGAATGATGGCAATCACATCTCTGAAATTTCACCGTATGTACAAAGATACATCGAGAACGATGAATGAACTTTAGGGCCACTGTGCATAATCATTAAAAAATGACTAGTAACAGTCATACTTAACTGTTTGTTAGTTAGTACGTACGACCCAAATACGCGCTGTGTTCAGCGCGTATTTGGGTACTAACTAACTAACTAACTAAGCTATTAGCGCGGAGCAAACCGAGTTCTAATAGCTTTCTGAAAGAAGAGCCGGACACTAATCATTGATATTAGGACCTTGGGTACTGCTATAGGATTAGGTTGCCTTCTAGACTTGGACAGCATGTAAGCATATTTTTTTGGCTGGATAAGAAAAAGCCGTACCCACTTAGTAGTCATGATTGGCTCATGTCAATTCAGCAAAGTACAACAGGTGAGTTAGTCACCATACAGAACCATCAGCCAGAACTTAGGAGACGAGAACAGTTGCCCGCTCCCATTTACGTGGAGCACCGTCCAAGCTACCGTCTCCCCGAGGATGATCACACTAAGTACACTACTGCACCGGAGACAAAGTGCAATCATTAACTTAAACTTGATACAAGCGGTATTCTAATCCGTCTTGGTTTGAGAGAGACATGCTAATGATTTCCCCTTTAGTATCAGCAGTAAATCTGCCGAGGCAGATTTCTTATGAATATTAATTATACAAGGAGGCATCATTGTGGTGCCCCGATTAAAGTATATCATACTTATAGCACCAGTGCAGATTAGACACGTAAATTTGTTTCTACCAGTGAAACCGTTTTCAGATTGGAGTTGCCATAGTTTTGTTCTGCTTTGGGTTCTGGATTTGTCGCATTTGCAGTATGCTGTACTTACTGCGTTGAATTCTGCGTCATTCCCAAGACTTCACATGAACCTATCATCAGTATCAAACGTCATCATAATGAATAGTGGATGAGACAGAGCGTGAAGTACATGATAGAATGATATGATTAAGTGTGTAGTTGTTATAAAGGAACTTCCGTTTGTGACTTGTCAAGTGACAGGGCTTCGCATTTGAAAGAACCCTCACAAGCTTGTATATCGGTAATAAATCAAGTTTATCATTGATTATCAAAAGTTCAACGCATCACACTATTGGTAACTGAGTTTTAGTTGGTTAAAAAATTTAAGACAAGTGCATGTCAGAACACAGACCTTTCGGGCTACACTATCTGTTTCGCAGCAATGTACGGGAAAGGAGAGTTGCTGAGCCTACGTACAGTCTCTGAGCACATCCTCCTATTTGTATGTGAACTCGCCGTAAATAGACTCTCTGGAAGCGTTGTTACATACATAGGATATAAAGCAATGGGCTACTTTATAACCCTTTTGGCTCTGGGTACCTAGTGAATTACCCCATGTATCCCCATGTATTCTACCTTCAAAAAATTCGTAAATCACTTCGGCATTTTGAGGACGTGAAGGAACCGAATGCACCTAAAATGATAAAGCATGCTTGGTAAATTGTCCGTCTCGTATATTTTCTGGGATATTGTCAGATTACATCTGCTCAGCTATAACTCAGCATCTGAACATGTCGTCTCCTTTCGTAGATCGAAGGCCTGCTATTTTGTGACTTCTCACCTTCAGAGTCTAAGTGGCATGCGAGTATTACCGTCAGGAGTAGGAGCATGCCATCTTTAGGACTCGTACTATTTTATCTTTCTCTCAAGCAACAGAGATTAGCTCAATGTAGTGCTAAACTGTTAGGTTGAATCAAGAGAATTCATGCATGTGACAAACTTACTCTCATGTATGTCTTTCATGTACTGACAACAACATCTTGGATTGTATCTCGTCTATATGCTCTGCATACTGTCGAGCGGTATGTTGTATCCGCATGCTCTTTTCTTGTGGATCTGATCACATCTTGTCTCAACAGACAACGTGGGTGGGACACGCAACTTTCTTGGTGCAGTTCGACGGATTAAATGTCCTAACAGATCCTGGTATAGATCTTCAGTTTTACAATACTTCCTTGTACAAATTGTATGTGGGTTGATGTTTCGGCCTGAAGAATGAGAAGAAGTAACCAGTGAATGAAGTCCGGAAGTAGGCTACTTAGATCTCCTCAACTTTGAAGTGGATTGCAATCTAGCAGGAAGTAGACATTTGTTACATTCAGGGTTTGAAGTCAACATGTGCCTTTCAAATAATTCATTACAGGTCGGACTTTTCTTAATTTCCTCCTCACCTTCTAAGATTACTAGTACGTGCCATCAAATACTTACCTTGTGATCATGTTTTCCTCTCAGTTTGGTCAGATCGTTGCTCTCCAACTCAGTGGGTCGGACCGAAGAGGTACTTAAAACCTTTCCCGACCTGGAATTGATTCAATCACACTTAGCCACAAAAGGTCTTTCTTTTCTGATACAAGATAGAAGAAAAGAACAGAAGCAGAAGGCTGCTTTTATATAGACACTCTGAACTCATTGGTAAGTCGTATTCACAGATCGTGCCAAATGAGCTAAGCAAGTTGCATGCTTCTTCCAAACCTTGAAGTCTTACAGTTTTAGAAGTCTACATAGTAATTCCGATCAAGCTAATCATTCGTGGTTTTACCTCCTGTTCCTGAACTGTACAAACTATGACATCGTTTGTTTTGAAAGCTTGCAGATTCATGCCAGTGCCATTTGCACAGAAGGAATTGCCACCAATAGACGCTGTTATCATCTCACACAATCATTATGGTAAGCAAGAGACGTCAGTTTAGGTAATTGTCCTACGCAGACGTGAAGTGCATATGTTGATAAACTCGGGCAGCAGTATTTGATTGTATACGACGCATTGCAATTTTGGACTTCAACTGTTTAACGGGACTGGGTAGCTCTTAAGTTTCTCTTCTTCTATGGAGAGTTGTGATCTGCTCAAACGCTCTAGATAGTTGTAATTCTGTTAATATTATGGTCTCGATGAGACGTCCCTTGAAATTCGTTTTGCTTTCTGCAGATCACCTTGACGAACGAACTGTTAAAGAACTCGGAAACAAGCCTCTGTACTTGGTTCCTTCTGGAGTCAAGAGCTGGTATGCATTGTGCCTTGATGGAACCAAGCAAATGCTGTAACTTACCTATATCTAGGCAAAGAGAATTCTCATCTGCTAGTTAGGAAAACTTTCGAGATGCTGCTTTATCTCACATTAAGAACTGAGTCGACGATTTGATAATTTCAGTGTATACTGAAAAACTCAAAGTTACACATACTGGCTTCTAATCGTTGTAGTATCATGTTGTCTTTTTGTACATGTGTTGCTAGGTTCACAAGTCTGGGAATCACAAATGTTGTGAGTTCACATGGCTCGTGCCTCGTGCCCCCCGTGAAATCACCCCTTCTATTTTGGAATCATAGAACACGTTCACTGAGCTGAATCTCCCGACCAGCATTGTTGAGGAACGTCCAATTCGGGGGATGCTAAGTGCGCGGTCAATATTTGACAGGACAGCAGTCCCGAGGGATAGTTATGTTGAGATGAGGGAGCGTCGCTCCTTATAGTTGGTCAAGTGTAGAAGTAAAATTAGAGTAAACCCCAGAAAGTAGATCATACTTCTCTTCTTAGGAATTTGTCTTTACGCTCTGGAAAACCGACAACGTATACGAACAGGACCTTGAATATCAGCAAATGAATCCAGGCCGTGTGTTTGCATAGGTGGAGCTGGACTGGTGGCAAGAGCATCGCGTTGATTTCCCCGATGGAGATCGTGTAAGGTCTTTGCGGGCTGTATGTACTCCATGTCAGCACTTCTCTGGACGCGGTGCGTTTGACAGGAACAAGGTAGGTTGAAATTTCTTAATTTGCTCTTCGATTCTGAACCGCCTCAGATATATCTCCCGATGGTTGTTACTTGCATCCGTGTCTTGAATCCTTGACTGATATCCACTGCACGTAGAGACGAACTTCGCCAGGAGCTTGTCTGCGGTGATATTTTCTAATCGAAATTTATGGATCTCGCAGACATTATGGTGCTCATGGGTACTGGAAGGACAAACCAAAAGAGTTTACTTCGCGGGTGACACTGGCTTCTGCACTGTTCCTAGGGGATGTGAACACCCAGGAGGGGTGCCCAGCATCGAAGCAGTTCCTTCTGCAGGTGATACTAAACTTGCAAGTCTCGAAGGTTCAGAGTTTAGTACATCGTTGGAACAATGCTCATATTTCAACTATCTGGAGCTGTAAATGCGCCAAAACTTCCCCTCATTCTGGCACTTCGAGACTTACCAACTTGGTGTGATGGATGCATGTAACACGATATATTTAGCTTTCTAGGATAAGGAGGCCATCGGTTACTTCGTTCCCGCGAAAGTTTCTGTCCTGATCTCAAAGATCTGCATGTTCATTGGAACTTTGCGTATACAGCTGAGTTTGTTTCAGAAAAACATATCTCTGGACTTGATGCCGCTGCTGAAGGTTCTGATCTTGGAATGTTGTGTTGTCGGCGATCCACTTTGCAGTGAACCTGCCTGTTTGTCCCGCGTTCGAAGAGATTGGTAAACGATTCGGTCCGATTGATATTTCGTTCATTCCTATTGGAGCTTACAGCCCCCGTTACTTCATGAGCTCTGTACACTGCTCCCCAGGTTGTGACCTACACTCCTGTGAAGATATCATTTGTAGATTTACTGTTGATGTGAGTTTTTTTAATAGACTCTAAAATGGAATTGCGAGTGTTTGTATATCCAGACATACATTTAAAGTACAGATGCAGAAAACGATCAGTACCAACCGATTGTCTGCAGTAGAATATATATTTTAGTACCAATTTGTGATCAAAGAAATAGTGAAGGTTACGACGATAAGGATACAAAAGTGTCCTTATCGTCGGAAACTTCACAATTCGTATGAGTGGAGGACAGGCACTGAAAGGTAAAGAAAACATTTGGTCAGAGCTGGCATAAGTTAGCTAACTAGTATGAACTTGTGTTAAGCACAATGCCCTGATCGCCGATGCCGCTACTTATGAACGAGGTAATTAGCTCCACAAGTCGACTTTGCTAGGAAGCTCTCTGGTTTCGTGCGGAATGTCCGGGTATGAGACGACATCAAGGACCTGTCATTCCAGCTCCGATAAAGAAGTAGGTCAGCACAGACTAGAAGAAGTCACGGAAACTGAGAAGAACTATCCTCGATTAATTTGAGAGAGACCTCCCAGAATACTGCCACTAACTGTCACTTGGTTTTCGTTCAGAGGATGCGGTGGCTATTCATATGGCAGTTGGTTCGAAACAGTCAGTTGCTATGCATTGGGGTAAGCAAGGATTAGAATCAGATGCCTTTTTAAAATAAAAATTGTGCTCAAACCGGTTAAGTCTTGTAATTGATGTCGAGCATCAGCTGATGGAAGTCATAATAGCCTAGGTGCCATTGGCAAGGGCACACCAGACCCTCATGGTGACTGTCATGACTGGAATCGACTGATCTGTAACTCCTCAGCTCATTCAGAATTGCATCATCATTTTAGTTTTCATTGGAGAATTTTCTGGTTCATGATCCTCAACCTCAGCTTAGGTCAACCTTCCAGTCTCAGTTGTACGCAATTTTCTCAAACATGAAATCTTTATCGTGCAGGGACTTTCGCATTGACCGACGAACCAATCATGGAACCACCGCTAAGGCTTCGTAACGTGAGTTCCTTCCTTGTCCTCAGTCATCTTCAAGTAGGGGAGTTTTGTCTTGTTCTGGTACCAGATCACTGCAGTTCAGAGAAATATATTTCACATACGTGTTTTTGCGTATATAGAGATTTACAACGCAAATTGGTTAGGCCGGATGTCTCACAATCTTTTATGACTGGCGACTTCTTCTAACCGTGGCTTCAGCAATGTCTAGCATCTCATATTATGCTCCAGTGTATCTCTTATCCATACGCAGATATCATATCCTCCTCACACCTGTCCTGATGAACTCAAATCTTTGTTTCTTTCCTGCAAACGAAGAGGAGACAGTAAAATAAATTAAAATATGAATACTCTATTGAGTCCCACATGGACGAAAGCAAACGGCAACGTTTGTATCGTCCATCAAAGATGATGGTGATATCTCTCGTCAAAATCCGTGGGAAGAAGGTTTTGACTTTGTGTCGTTGTCTTGGTTCACAGGAATTGGAACGTCTAAAGATCGACCCCTCAAGATTTATCACTATGAAGCACGGAGAGACTAGAACGTTCTGATTTTCTTGGAGTTAAGATCGTATGTGGATTGGCAGGTTCGTAGGTTTCTCCGCGAGTGTAAAAATATTTGAAATCTTCCTTTGCAATAAAGTATGAGGACATTATGTCGAAGTCACATGGTATGTTCTGTACGCCATCTCGAAGGTTTTTTCCCTAGAAAAAATTATTAAGCGACTCACTACGCCATCAAATCTGACCACGGACGGACCTCAGACTTAGTTTGTACAAAGAAGTACTCTAGCTATCGAAAGGCGATATATTACTCACCGCATATTACTTAAATTTTCTTCCCACTATTGATTACCCACGTTTACGAAGTGTCGTGAATTGAATGACACTTCGTAAACCTGTCGTTCAATTCACGGTTTACGTGACTACGCATGCTCAAATTCTGAGCAAATTTCCAGACATAAAATTTTGATGCCCTCGAAAAAGCTCAGTATGCAGACCGACAGTAACGCAGGGAGCCACATTGACGAGAAGAGGCAACTCAGTGCAACTGACACACCGTTCCTTTGAGATTATGGAAGAATGTACGGATCATGTACGGATCATGAAATAAACATTTCGACTCCGCGACGACAGATATGCAACGATAACTTTCACTTGACTGGAGTGATGAATGAATGGATGAATGTATGAATGCTGGTCACGTCCTCAGGAACACCCCGCGCGCGATCAAAATACACAAAGTACATACTAAAATACGTGCTGAGCCAAGTCAGCGGTAGCAGGAAACAGGCAGGGCCGGCGGAATCTAACAAGAAGATATATACAGGCAATGAGTGTGACACAAGACTTCAAGAGGCAATTCCTAAGGTGTTGGCCGGCTGTCCACTGGCCCTGGCAAAGGGCTCCTGGTGATTGGCAGGCTGCTCGGGTGCCAGGGCAATGTAAATCGATTCACTCTCGACTCTGCTCACGAGTCACGAGCCCTCTGTTCACCCGATGGCTCAGCTCAGCTGAACCAAGCCTCCGAGCGGGAAAATTTCAATTTCAACTTGGCACCCATGGAATCAAAGGGAGCTCAAATCATCGTGTATCCATCCTACCAAACTCGTTACGAGTCCTACAAAGGTCAGTACGAGAGTCTAAAATCCGTCAGTCGTCAGCAGGCGGATCAACGCGGACACGACGGGGCTCGAGCCGATGTCGAGAGCGGGCTTCTTGATCTTGTCGAAGAGCAAGGAGTCGACCTTCGTGCGCAGCTCTTTGATGAGCACGGCGATGCGGGCCGGGGCCTCGAACTCGAGCCAGTCGTCCACGGAGATGGCCTGCTTCTCGTGCTTGACCTGCACGCGGCCGCCGAAGAGGAGCAGGCCGTAGGCGGGGACCATGGTGCTCTCCTTGAGGAACACTTTGGACGTGCGCACCTTCTCGCTGAACACGAGCCAGGGGCTCTCGAAGGCGCCGACGTGGAAGTTGACGCTGGCCGGGTGCAGGAACACGCGCCCATCCGCCTTCGTGAAGAAGCGCAGCTCGCGCGCGGCCGCCGTGCGCTCCACCGTGCCGCCCTCCGTCTGCACGAACGTCTTCTCCGGGTGGTGCACGCGCACGATGTTCGGGTAGAATCCGGCGCAGATGACCGCCTTCACCACGCGCACGACGCCGGAGTTCGAGTCCAGCGGGCCGCCGGCGACCGGGTGGTTCCCGGCGAGACCCGACGACAGAAACCCGATGTCCGTCAAGATCTTCACGAAGTCCTGCCGGCTGGCCTCGATGCCGGCCAACGTCTCGCGCGACAGAAAGTGCGCCGCGCAGAAGTTGCTCTCGGAGCCGCGGCCCTCCTGCCGCGCGCCGAGCCAGCCGTTGTACGCGGCCACCACCGTCAGGTGGTCGCTCTTGCTGCCGCCGGCCAGGCGCAACTTGGCCGCCGCCGCCTCCTCGCGCTTGTCGGGCGGCGCCATGAAGGGCGAGCGCCCGCTTAGCGCCGCGGCGATGGTGAGCACCGGGTCCAGGCACTTGAGCATGCACCCGAACAGCAGCATCTTGCCCACGCGCGCGTCCACGGGCATGCGCACCAGATGGTGCCCCAGCGGCGTCAAATTCTCGCCCGCATCCAGCGCGTTCAGGTCCAGCAGATTCTTCAGCGACGTCCTCACCGCGCTCGGATCGGGCGACGTGATAATCCTCGACACCGACACCTCCACCTTCTCGTCCAGAAGTGATTTCACCTGCGAATCGAGTGCGAGCATGCAAGCAGTTAGATTCATCCATTCTTCGATCGGTTCCGGAAGGCGCTAAATCTCAGTCGGAAGATTTCCACCGGCACAGGTGACAGTTTTCCGGAAGAGGATTCTTTAGCGTGAGGAGCGTCGATGGATCGACGCTCCTCACGCTGAGCAATTGCGCTGGCAATTGCTTTCATTCTCCTTCTCCGCATGCTCTGGCTGTAGCATTCACGGGATCTCGTTTCGTTGATGATCCATCAAGGTCGTGTGCTCGTGTTGTGCTCCCACGGGCTTCAGTACATCACTCATGCAAACGAACGATTCTTTTGTTCCGCCAGAAACTATCAACACGGCTGAACTAAAAACTCGGAAACGGCAGCCTTACAATAAACTGCCATACATAAACTTTCATGCTGCCACATGCGGAAGAAGAGAATGAAAGCAATTGCCATCTCACCTCACGCACTGTGAGGGATTTCTTGTGTTGGACAGGGTTTAAGGATTGCGCGGGGCTATACCTTTAAGCATAGTCCATCCAACGAAACTCTTAGGATCTCTGGAAGCTGGTGCTCCTCCAGCTTCTGGAACTGCTGTCTGCTGTACAGGCGGACACAAAATCCAGACTGTACACGGCCAGCTCGACCACGTCGCTGCTTGGCACTAGCTTTTGAAACCCACGTTTCTTCCAAGCAGGAAATTCCTCTACTGTGATCATACCTCATTTCCTTATGACGCCCAGTGTCAATCACATATCTGTGAACAGTAAACAGTCACAAATGCGAGACCCGTGAGTTGATAGATCTTCTTCGACCATGCACCTGAACAAAATTGAGTTCTGACAAGCAGTTGAGGATGACAATTTTGGCACTGAGAGTTACTTACACGCAATCATCGATGGTAACACTTGTCTCTGCAATGTTAGTTGCCAACACCACTTTCCTAGTTCCATGTGCAGGCCTAGAAAAGACACGTCTCTGTTCATCACTGCTTAGAGATCCATGAAGAGCTAGAATCCACAAATTTCCACCTCCACAGGACGCAACTTGAGAGGACTGTTGGAGGAATCTCTGGAGTCTGCGAATTTCAGCAACTCCGGGCAAAAATACCAGTATCGCACCAGCCTGTCCTTCAGGCCCACCCGACGCATTGAATGGCTCTACTCTTTGCAAAATTGCACATATTATGAGCTCGATCAGGTCATAATTGATTAAGCTTTGATCTACAATGCTTAAGGACTGCATAGTAGCCTCACTATACTCATCCAACGGAATGACCTCTTCCCTACAATTGTCCTCTGCTAGTGACTCCCAGTTGTCCATATCCTCATTGACAGCAGAACTTCTTTCAGCTGAAGCGGTAAGGCTTGACAAATCAGAAGTGCTACTTTTTTTCTTCATAGCATAGCGAGAATTCCGTCCAATTTTGAATCCTGTGAGATCTAACGCATCCTCTAAGTACAATTCTTGTACAGGGTACGTGAACCCAGGAATGCTCACTATACAGGGATCGGCATCATTGCCGTCTCTAAAATATCGTACGAATAGGGTTGGGTCCACTGTTGCAGACATAAGAATCACACGGAGCCTACCACCAACCCTTCACAAAGAAACACAACACCAGTCTTAGTACAAACTTGACTCGGATACTTGCCACAAAACTTCACTAAATTAAAAGCCTAGAAGGCTCAGACTTGACATGTACCGATGGCCACACGCCGAGGAGCAAAAAACAACGCACCTCTTCAGTAATTCTCTCAAAAGCAGTAAGAGAAGATCGCTTTCTAGCGTCCTCTCATGTACTTCATCAACAATCACATGTGTAACATTCTCTAAATCACGATCTGAAGATAATCGTCGCAACAGTATTCCCGTAGTGCAGAACAGAAGCCTCGTACGATGTGAACGACAGCTCTCCAAACGAACGGAGTACCCGACCTGATGCCAAGGTTACAGGACAAGTAAATCTTATGATTATATTCAAGATGATTATAATTTCATTTTCATTAAGAAGTACTGCGCTAGGCGTGTACATTGAACAGATAAATAATTTAATCAAAAGCATTACAGCATAGGCAAATGAGCGATTAAGAAACTGTTCAGACTCACAGTTTCACCGACTCCTTGACCCCGCTCCTTGGCTACTCGATCAGCCAGTCCAATTGCTGATAAACGTCTGGGCTGAGTGCAGATTATGTTGCAAGCTGCTCCTGTATCTCTCTCGATGTAGTCTTCCAGCACGTATTGTGGCACCTTTGAAACGTGAAGAGAGAAAAACAGTTGAATGAGAGAATATCTTTGTAGAGCAAGGTGAATATTTGGGATGTCATGAACCTTCAAGATCAGAAGTTGGAAGTCACAGTTCCAAGAGCTGGTGATCAGAGGAGAAGGTTGTGTTCTCAAGGTGGAAAAAGAACCTAAACTAGATGTGCAGAATATTTCCAAATTCTCTCACAAGAAAATTCATGCAGTTCCGTTCTCTATATTTTCCGAGAGAACTTTCCTGTAAGTGGGTAGCAATCTCTGCTAAAAAATTACCGGCAGACAAAGCTAAAACACAAAGAAATCTTTCAGCTCTACGTTCCTGGGTGTAAGGAATTTTCCTAGTACCTGAGTACTCTTCCCGCATCCTGTCTGACCAGCAACGACTGTGACATTATGTGCGTTAATTTGTCTCAAGAGATCATCGCGTTGTTTGAAAGCTGGTAATTTTGACCTGGCAGCCCACATTTCATTTCTCCCTCCCCTCCTGAGATGTTCCCACTCATTCTTCAGCTTCAAGCACTCCCTGCTAAATTCCGCAGCTGCACAATCTTCATTACTTCGGCCAGAATTTTCTTTACTTCTGCCAGAATCTTGCCGATGGGACTGTCCAGTGGCGACATTTCCTTCAGGCTGTCCTTTCACTTCACTTAGCGTCGTCGGAGACAACCTCCTCAGAGCTGGTGGCACGTACGTTGCTGATACTGGCGAGTCACTTCCATGAGTGGCAGATCCATTTGGAGGGCTGAGGCCGGTAGACTGCGATGAACCATTGTTTGATAAGCCTTTCTCGTCAAGGTATTGCTCTACCTTGTACTTTGGAATATCCAGACCAACTTCGGATTGGAAATAAGATGCAGATCTGATGACCTCTGCTGTGATCCCTTGGGCCAACTCTATAGCCTTATGTTGAAGCTCAAAGATCATAGAATTTCCAAGAAGCCGTTCAGCATTCTCTACCAGTTGCTTCGTGAGAGCCAATAGTAATTCTGCTGGGAGCTCGCTACTACGCAAAGCTATTACCGGAACCTCAAAGGGATATCGTGACCCTGACGGAATTCTTACCTGCAGGACGGGTACAAAGTTAGGTGTTTCACACAAGCTTCAATACGAGGCCTCCTCACTGTTGCACATCAACTTGCGTCCACTCTACTTACTTAACACAGACGTACGATCAACAATGAGCATCGGCATATCGGCTCTTCAACAGTAACAGTTTCATCAGAGTACCATGATAAGAGTAAACAAACGAACCTGCACAGCCGACGAGATTTGTGTATGCCACATGCAGAAATGGTAGCGCACAAAACGAACCACACCAGAAAAAAATGCATCTAACTGAATAAGCATGAATTTCATTACAAGGTTGGATACAGACCAACACAGGCATCGGCGTATTTGCTAGTAGCATACCTCCATTTCCAGGCTAGCTTCAACTTCTTCCCGTACCGGCAGGTAGAAACTTGACAACGATTCTGAAATGAAACACGACTCATCTCCGAAGATCGAATCCAGAGCAATGAGCTCCTCTGCTATTGTGTCAGCCAGCTGCGTTGTGGATTCAGTCACAAGGACACTGCCTGGATGAAACGTGCTTTCAAAAAGTCTACTTAAGGCAACATCCTCGTCTCCACAGGCCTCTGATAGTGCTGTTATGCAATCCATATACGGATACCCGTACTCTTGCAGATGGGAGAGACAGGCAGTGGTTGCAGACGGATCTTCAACTGCCTGCTTTCCCCTCACCAACACCTGTACAGAAGCTTTGGAAGATTCTGGAGCAAATCTGGAAGGTAGTTCGTGTTCAGGAACATTAAGAATGAGCCAATCGAGTACACTGGACAATTCTTCTCTCTCCGCAAGAGCCATATTTATGTAATTTGTTTTGAATCCCATGCTAAGAAGCTTCCGTCGAATAGCTTGCGAGGCAGTTGTTCTGTTGGATTCTCTCAACGTGTTGTTACCTCCTAGCTTTGAATGCTCTCTGAAATCGAGGCCCCCTTTTTGTACGTCTCCTCGTAGATTTGGCTTGTGCCCCGCACTTCTAGTGCTTTGAGTCACTCTAACCGACGGCCCTGAAATGCTTAATTCGCTCCAGTCATCGACCACTGCAGAGATATCTTCAAATCTATCTAAAGTATTCTCCCTATGATTAGCTCCAGAATGAAAGTGTAAATTTTCGCTGCTGGTGTACTCATTCTCGTCTCCTTTGAGCAAATCCTCTACAAGACGCCTGTTTCCCTCGCTCATAAATACAGAGTGTAGCTCGCGTTGAACTGGTACTGGCTTTGGCCTTGGTTGCGGTGGATGCGCTTTCAAATACGCCTTGCGCTCTTCGGCTGCCACATCTAGATTGTGCCACTGTTGTCGATATTCCTCTGGGAGTATACGATCAAGCCTGTATAGCAAAGACATGATCAATACAATTCCAATTCTTGAATATTACTCACAAAAAAGGTAAGTTGGAGCTCTTAAGTTTTCTTAGATTGTGGAGTTTAGACGAAAGGAAGGCATTTCTTTCTAGCCGATGCACACATTTTTAGGCTTCAGAACGATCTAGAAATTTTTGTTTACTGTAATAACCCTGGTTGATATTGACGGCATCCCATGTTACCGTCATACAAGTCAAGAACTTAAACATGATGACGAACATGCCTGCAAACATAATGGCTTGGGAGTACCGCGGCTAGCTGGAACATTTTAATTGTACTATTACAAAATTGAATCGAACTATCTCATGTGTGAGATTACAAATACTGAATCTCTAGAGACCCACAAAAGACTGAGCCACCTACATTACTCTTCAGCAAATCGAAAGAGTTACGAAGTAAGCGCTGGGCTCTCAAAGGCAAAGCAACAGCTCCAGCCAAAAGACCATTTGATAATATCGGAAAACAAGGACTGAGTCTGGTGATCTAAGCTACTACAGGAATGAAGTGATCAAGTGGCTGACCTTCGATTACCCATGACATGGTGCAAGCCTTTGACTGCAGCTCTGTGTTGGGCTTCTTGAGAAGATCGACTGGTTGTATCTCTGTACCATAATATGACATCGTCCTCACTCTTCTTTGGATCCGGTAGGACAATACGACAATGGAAACCTCCTTCGACCTCCTCCTACAAAAGCATGAGCTTCTCAGTATCCGCGATTTATTTCAGAGTAAAACATGCAAACCCAAATTCTGCATGGTAGGAAATGTCATACAATCACACTTCTCTATCTTGTGTAATCTGCGTTCCTTCGCAACTAACCGCAAACTTCTCAGCACCTAGCAGTCTGGTTGTTGGCTGTTCGCTAGAACAGACGGAAACTACTGAATTCGAGTACTCTACCAAGAGCAACAAGGCGAATTTCCAAGGATCACCTTCATGTTAAAATTGGTAAAATTCTCAACGACCTACAATTGCTGCAATCTGACTCGAAAGAAAACCTAAGAATTCTGACACAAGTAGATCCTCAATTTACAACAGCTTGGACTCTCCTCGCTAGAGGCACACTGTGTCGAGAACCAGAGGCCAAGTGCAACAGCAAAGGGTTGAACAGATGAAAATATTACTGTGATATAAACTGGAAAACACTGACATGTTTGAATTTAGGAACAGGTCTCTTATTCTTCTGACACCATTCATGGAGTAGAGTTTTCGGCGTCTTGACAGGATAGGACGACTGATTTGAATGTGTTAACCCGGATTCCGCAGTTCCACTTGTTCCTGGCAGATCGCCCACGGAATCCGTTCCCTCTCCCACAGATCCATCCTGCAACCCGTCCTGACTCTCGCCAGCGTGCTTGTTTTTCAAGTGCTCCTTGAGACGCCCATCCTGTTTGAAAATCCTGTCACAGAAAGGGCAAGGCAGTGGCTGCGATGCCAACAAAACGCCACCAGAATGTGAGAATTACAACTTCGCAAACAGACAGAAACAGATCATGCTCCTGCCGCTGCTGATAATGACGGGCAATTCTTCACATTAAGCCATTGCCAGAGAATTGCACTCTGCCCGCTTCAGAGGAGAGCAGGGAAGCAAAAACGCAAAGATTTATGGCGTCCGCAATTCAGAGCTGCGAGAGATCAGTACGAATTGGGATCGGCTAACTCAAATGCGAGTTGAATTGCGGATCTCCAATCAATCCCTTCGGCCAAACCCCTAATGTGGGTTCAGGGCCTGTGGTGGGAGTGCGGAAAACAACAAAACCCGACCTAGCGCGCAAGAAAAACTCCAGTACCAGAGAATCGTCACAAAATCGCAACCTCCCCAACAGACCGACTGACTCACGACCGCCCGACGTGCGGATTGCCAGAGCACCAAAACGCCCCTTACCGCTCCAGAATTCTTGGCCGTGGTGGGAGCGGCCTTGCCCCCGCACCCTGCAGCGCCAGTTTTGTAGACATGGCGAACAGGCTTGCTCTTGCTGGTGCTGCTCGCCATCGATCGCCGCGGGACGGAGGAGGGCACACTCGCCGTGCGCCTCTCGATCTCGGTCTCAATTTCTCGCCCTCGCTCCCTCGTCTCGCCCCCTCCCTCAAGACATCTCCGCTGCAGCCCAGTCCGCAATTCCGTCTGCCCCTGCGGCAGCCTCGGCGCGCCGTGCAGCGCTCGCCTCCATATCCCTCCCCCCTGCTCCTCCTCCTCCTCCTGCTCCTCTGGAGACGACGACTGCTGTCAGCGCCGGGCCGCTAGGTCCCAGTGCATGGCGTCGCTCCCTCACCCCCTGCATTCGTCCGTCGCCTCCTTCATGTCCGCGCACTGCGATTCGGTATTTAAAGAGCACATCATTCAGTCGCAGCCACAGCACGAGTCTCGGCCTTCACTCCATTCCAGCAGCAGCACAAGCAGAAGCCGATCTTCCGACCCAAGCGAGCATGCAGCTGGTCCGAATCTAGGGCTTGCGTGCTCCGCTCAGCTCAGCTCTGCTCTGCTCTGCTCAAGGCCCTCACTCGCTCCGATTGATCGAGTCCACCGACGCCCATGCCCTCCGCTGTTCATGCACTGACGCCCATGGGAAACCCGCTTTGCGCTTACCCTGGGCTTCAGATTCTTCTCCTCGTGCTCGTCACCCGAGCTTGGAACGAATGCATGGCATAAATTTCAGACTTCCGGGCCGCTGCGAGGAGGAAGCTCGTGCGATGCGTACTACGTGAGCGAGGACGGGTGATTATTTGCGAGTATAGTCATTTCGGCATTCATTGATCGCGCCTGGGAAGAGCTGGACGAGATGGCATCGGAATGGGCAACGGAGTACTCGGGCTTGGAGGAGTCTGAGACGGGAAGATTGGAGCCGAACGAGAAAAGGACAGAAGAGCATGCACTGGGTCCCGAAAGATTGCACGTGCTTGCTTGTAGGATTCGATGAGGACAGCATGTGGTGAGCTCAGATTGGGAGCCGCGAATCGAATCGAGTCAAGGCAGGGAAGAAAAGGGAAGCGAAGCGAAGCGAAGCGAGCAGTCAGCACAGGACAGTACGTACCGAGCGTGAAGTTAAAGTACGAGGGGTCAGATTGAGTTGGCGGCCATTCATCATCGCAGTTGCAATCTACCCACAAACCAGTGGCAACAGTTGTACGGGAATTCCACAGGAAATTTCACTCAATTCAATTCATTCATTCATTCATTCACTTCCAGATTTTACACAAGTCCAATGAGCATCGACAGTTTCCCGTTGGTCGTTGTGCTTCTGGCAACAGAGTGCTGAATCTCGCGTGCAGCGTGCTTCACTATTCTGGTGCGTTCTCCTGCAATTCGGAATCTTTTCCAGCGGTCCTCCGGCTCCTACGAGTCCAGTCGAGTCGAGTCCAGTCCAATCCAGCAGGTGCAAGAGTTTCACGTTCTCTTTCTTTCAGCTGGTTTCTTTGTTCGTACCAACCAGAACGACGAGCTTTGAGAGCTGCGGGCTTTTGTGAAATATGCCCATGTATGTTTCTGAGGGAGCAATTGGCTGGATCCCCGACGGACAGACAGCCCGGAAATGGCTGGCTGGGCTGGATCCAGCAAGCCAGCCATGAGCTGTCTGTCTGTCCGTCGGGCTCGGAGTGACGGCTGTAGCAGCAGCTCGGCCTTCGGTACGAGATCACAGCAAAGCTGTAGAGATTCCTTGACTTGCAGGCAACTAAGCGTTCCAGGCACTGAGAACTTTCGACTCAGAACTTCCCCTTCGCTTTCTGTCATTGGAAATGACGAACTGATTGTACGTGCGACTTTGGTCGACGAAGTGTGCTGCAACTCGGAAGGCAGAGTGGGCGATGAGCTCTTCTGTTGGACATCGAGCTCAAACAACAGAGGCTTAAACCTCGAGCACAAAGTTCACCTTCCTCTGCATCGCAGCTTCCACTCAACATCTTTGTGTCACCCACTCGAACAACTCCGCTCATAGAGTTGAGAAGCGAGCTCTTTCAGTCGGAAATACCAATGTCAGACCCCGAGTGTCTTGACGGGCGCTGTTAGATACTGCACCTCCATAAACACACCTCTGTGAAATCTGAAACCAGTCCTCCATATATGATAGAACGCTGATCCCATCAACATTGGTATCACGGCACAGTTTCTCCTGATGTCCTTCATGGCTTGTCCCATGCTAAGAGAGTTCAGCATAGCAGGTGGACTCTCGTAGAAAAGCGAGCGAGCGAATCCCTTGTCCTCCTTTGTGCCCGGTACGCATTCGCTTGGAAACGGACTTCAGAGCCGTGCACTTTTCACATATCTGGCTTTTTAAGAAGCTTGCATAAATAGATTGTCTTTAATTGACATATTTAACATAACATCGACTTAGTTCATTTATGGGTCGAGGGATGGATGGATGCCTAGTGTGTGCCCTGCCCTGCCATGCCACTCCCTCAAATGACGTGGTCCTAAATCTTGGTCAAATACATGATCCCAGACAGAAGCATGTAATCTTAATCTGCTCTTATGGATCAACAAACTTTTCCTGCACAGAGCAGTATCGGTATAGGAGTAACTATGTAACACACATCGCGCATTCTTGTTGTAGATTTGTTTCGGATCTCTAGTATGTATCCTAGTAGCATCATCTGAGGTTAGCAAACTTCTTTCACGACACTCGAACGAATTGGACTCTATATGAATTATCTTTCCAAGTGAGAACTGATAATATATTTTCAATAACATAGTGAGCTGTTGATTAGATATAATTTATTTACTATAAAACAATACTAAAAAATCATATTGTTCTCAATAAATTCGAAGTGAAAGCGATTTGAGAATAAAAAAACTTCTCTTCAAATATATTTCTTCAGGAATTTCTCTATTTATTATTAGTAATGTGGAGTATTGGACAGTATTTCATAGTAAAATTTAGGTTAATGTAATATTTTATTTTCACTTTACCTCGATCATTTTTTGTTTTTTGTAATTGTGTATTTGACGATAGGCATGGGTTTAATTGTCTGTGTTGCATTTAATGTAGATTAAAACATTTTAATGGATAATTGTATAGTGTATTTTTAATATTTTCAGTATCAAACAACTTGCCAACAAATTGATAGTGTGAAGGTAAGTAAAAATATGAGAATTTTACTGTTATTTGTCTTGTTTACTGTTAAATAAACTTTTTATTGTCGTAATTGGTTATTTTTTAATAATTTATTTTCTTTCGCGATTTTTTCTTTTAGCCAATTGTTTACATATTATAATTTTGTACAGTAGAGATTGAAGAGCAAAAATTAAATTTTTTTCATATTTCACACTTCATTATATTCACTTTCATTTTCGATCAATAAACATAATTTTATAATAATAATATATTTCACAATTGTATATTACTTTCACAAATGTTTTCCACTCTCTTTCAGTAGTTTCGATATTTATATTTCATTTTTTCTTTTCATCAATACATTCAATCGTAAAATTTGGGAAGTAGTAGAATGTTACAACTATCACAAGTTTATCCTCCGTGGTTAGCTTTGAATGTCATTTGGCAAGTGATCCATAATTATCGTAAATACTCAATATGTTCAAAATTCCAAGATATGCAGTTATTAGTCGCATGTTGAACATAATCGTGGAGGATAACATAAGACTCAAGGGTGCGTAAAGAGTTTGCATAGGGGATAGCCATGGCCACGAACAATACACTTGTCGAGAAAAAAAGGCAGAAATAAGATAAGGTTCGAGTTTATAAAACATGTCGACAAATTCGTCATCATCAAACCATCATATTGGGGCGACAAATCCACCAGAAAACCGAAGGGCGCTGAGCTGATGATAAACAACTGGGACTATACAGAGAGATTCGGGGGAAAAAATGTTGTACGCCTCTTCTGCACTGACTTCTATTTTTCATCGTACAATTTACCAGCCACATCTCGTTTGAGCTGCGGAATCGCTGACAACGAGTAATGTACATCATTTACTGCAATTTGTCGAGAGCCTGCGCATCCAACAACCAGAATCGATCGATTAGATTCCCATCCTCTTATTCCACAAATTCCCAGACATGGAGGAACCCACACCCTCGAACCAAAATCGACTCAACTGACAGGAGCAAAGGCAAAGATCAGAGCAAAGATTCAGCCCTGGTGGGACAGAGAAAGACACTCACGGCGAAGACGGTGGCGTGACCGGGGTCGGCAAGATGGGCGAACAAGTTGTCGATGGGACCGGTTCCTGTGTACACGGCTTGGAACCAGGCGCCCATGACGGCGAGCATGGCGAGTCTTCCGTTCTTGATCTCCTTGGTCCTCAATTCCTTAACCTTGGCGGCACCGCCAGCTCCCCAGCCCAGGGGGTCGAACCAGAAGCCTCCGGGGTAACCGACATCGGTTCCTGTGAGCTTGTTGTTGGGGAAGACGGGGTCAGTGTTCACTGATCCTGGCTTCAGGATGTCGGCCCATCTCCTGCCCTCGGCCCATCCCATGAACAGCAACTCCACGATGAAAAGGGTGGTCTGGTCAGCGAAGTAGGTCTGCTCTCCGGCAGTGTACCAAGACGGGGTGTTCAGGATTCCGATCTTGGTCAGCAGCTCGGGAATGAAAATTCCCGCGGCTCCGAGCATGGCCCATCGGCAGTGCACGATCTCGGCTTGCACGAACCACTTCAGTAGCTCAGGCTCGGATCCTGTCGACGAATTCCGAACGACAATCAGCCACACATGCAAGCGAAACTGTATGGGTGTGATGAGGTGCGAGAGCAGCGAGGGTTTATTGCTTTTGTGGAATGCTTACCAAGACCCAAGGGGTCGAAGCCGAAGTCTCCTGGCAGGGAGCCGTCGAGCCATTCGGGGGCAGTGCTTCCGGGGAACCACAGCGGCCTCTCGGTGGCCTGAGCCCTCACGGAGAAGGAAGCCTTGCTCACAGCGGACACCTTGGCGGACCTCAGAGTCTTTCCGAAGAAGGCTGCCTTGACTGCTGAGCCAGAGCTCACGGCCTTGGTAGCACTGTCATAACATTGGCAAGCACGAAGGTGTTAATTAAGCCCACCACCAACTCGGTCACATCTAGTCCCATGTACCAATTTTCAGCACACCAGTCCTCATCTACAGCATTGCCATTAAAACCAAGACCCTCAGACACTCTCAAGCCCAGCCACTCCAGAGAGAACTAAGTCGCCCCCCACTATATCAATTAACCCTGGCTTCGCATACGGTGCTTCTAGCTCCCAGTTAGGCCTGGCACTCGTTTTGCACAACATTTCCCAGTAAAATTTGCCCCTACATAACTCCTCGCCATTGTCCGCTTGATCGTGGTCTGAAATCTGTCAGTCGAAGGGTCGCTGAGTAAAGCTAACGAGGGAAGAAGATCGGTGTGCGGGTTGGTACCTGGTCGATGGGGCGATCGACGCAATGCGGGAAGTGGTGCACACTGCAGTCGCCATTTTTGCAGCTCCGGTGGAAAGCAGGTCGACGGGCTTCGGGAGTGCGGGAGAGGAGACAGAGATGGACGACAACGGAGGAGAGCTGGAGCTGATGCTAGTTCAACCCCTCGGTCTGGATGCCTCCTTCGATCAGTTCAGCTCTATCAGGGGGGAGAAATTCTATGGCCCAATTGCGAGCGCCAGTGGATCAGAGATCGATCGTCCAAGCGCCGCGGGGCCCATTGGTGGAGCTCCGGTCCTCCGCCTTTCCCCATTGGTCCGGACCGCATCCCAGCTATCGACACTCGCGCCCTCCCATTGGCGATCGCGATTGCTCCCTATTCGCCCCGGTTCCCCCACGCTGGCATGCCGCGCTCGACACATCGGCCTGCTTCTCCTCCCACCTCAGCATCGATGCCCCATCATGCGTAAACCACGCGCGTGTCTGCACCATGCACACATCGACTCATGCCGCCCCGTCAGGTAAGTGTTAACCGCTCTCACACTGGTGACCGACTTTAGAACAATATATCCTCCATATATAAGAACAGCATCCGGTCATGCCTTTTGACCGGCGTAAGAATACCGCTCCGCTTGTAGAGCCGGTGATAGAAGGTGATCTTCATCCGCCGAGGAGATCCGGTTGTCAGGCCCTCTAGTGGCTTACCTTCGGCTCGCTCTAAAATCGGCCACTAGCTCATCGAGTAATTTTTTCACGACTCATTCTTACGTAGGTAAAAAACCCCCACTGGATCATGTTTTAATATGGCGTATATTTTGTTTTACTCCATGTTCTAATTAAAAGAAACATCCTATGAAGTTTTATCCTGTGTTTCTGAAACCTACTTTACTGGTCACCGGTAAATACGGATATATTTGTTACGGCTGCCGGACGGTCGGAAAATAGTTTTCTTCCCTACGGAGCGGGTCCAGTCTCCCGAGAATCCTGTGCTCAGGCTCCTATCTGAATTTTCCGTATGCATCACACCGCATCTGCCTTTCCAGTCGGGATATCTTTCGATAAGGATCTGACATGCCGCAAATGGAAGATTGAAAATGGTCCAAAACAGTGATGAGAGCACAAGATAATTACCAAACCATGTTTTCCGTTCAGTTTCACTTCTACTCTGACCAGACATTCCAATCCTTTTCTGCTGTATTATTCATTACTATACATTTCATATTTCTGGATATCATGTATGTGACGTGATATGTATGTGCGAATAGACGCATGCCATGGTAGGCAGCGGAGGACTTTGCCATGTCCATAGCAATCCGTGATCCATGCCAAGAGAGCATCGAGCTCCATGAATCATGGAACACGAAATCTGTGGAACCAGCAATCATCATTTCTATATTTTTAACTACGGATAATTGGAAAATTATATAATATCCACGACTGTAATTATCCCCAATCTGCAGAGAATCTGTATCTCCCAACATGACCAAGACATACTTTACACAGAGAAGGAAGAATCAAAAATCAAATAGTGTGGAAATACCCCCATCAATCCCTACATGGATGACGCAAAATATGTAAGATGCTCCAGGGAGCGAGCAGTGGAGCATCACAACTGATGATACTTTATACTGCAAACCATGTATTTAAAAGCTCAGTTTCAAAATGTACTACATATCACATGAGCTAAGAACTTTTTAGATTGGATGTTACATAGTTATATGTAAGTACAAATAGATTGCAAAAAAAACAGAGTATTGTTAGCTCTTGTTATTATTTGGAAAGTAGTCTCGCTCAATTAATCTGCTTTGGTATAATTTCAACTACACTGCTGCTACGCTTGTTGTTCAATGCTCGTGACTATCATATTCGGACTGACTCTGTTTAGTTTCTCATTCTCTAGGCTTTTTGAGAGATTATTATGAAAAGAGAGTATATATGACCTCAAATAGATGTTATATCAGAATACTTTGTTGGAAAATCACTACGCCCACTCAATATCTTATGCAAGTCTCATGAAATCTTATCATGTACTCCACACAATGTAGATTTGTAATGATAAAAAATCCAACACAAGATGTTTCTTTCCAACCACATAGAAACATGTTCAGAAAGAAATGTGAAGATTTGATTTTTGACATAACAAGTTTTAGCAGAATCAATCCAATCAGTTTTTCATGTAACACATGTATAAAAATTGCCACTAACTTTGAAACTATAAGTATACATATCATTGTAAGTTTTAATTTGTACACGTGTATGAATTAGTTAACGTAGTGTTATAGATAGGATTGGAGTCACAACCTCAAAGAGCACACCTGCACAAGTACACGTGGTCATGACTCATTCCCAATTTTCCATAAGAGTTATGTCCGTATGGATGAACAAATTTATATTTATCTTCCAGATCTATAGACGATGGAATAAATCAGAATATAAAATTATTTAAAATTGGCCATCACTCGGTTGCTACTCTCGGTATGGTTTAACATTGGCTTGCCAAACCTGATAATGGTGCAATTTGCTTTATTCTACAATATTCTTGTGAACAAATTCTTGTGAAATTTTGTTCTCAATAGATAAATGACATAATCTTAGAAGCAAATTTTGCTTTAACAATCACGCTAAAGTTCACTTTTCCACAACGTCCACTTTTTTTTCTTCGAACGAGGGGTAATATGATTCTCAGATTGAGTTGAAAGACCATCACCTCATATGCTAAAACATATCAAAAGCACCAAGGTAAGATTTATTTAATGTGTTGTGTAGAGTTTTGAAGTAGTTTTTTTTTCTTATCTTCGTATGAGATCAAATGAGTTTGGCGTTGATGCAAAAGGTTTATTGAGAGTTAAGCATCATTGAGACTAGTTGTGATTTTTTTCTGATGCAAACCTAAGCTAGCAGGAAGGAGCATTGTTCAACAACTTCAATAATGGATTTTTCTGCTCGATCGTCTGAGCTTTTGTCTATATCACCTGCTATTTTTTCTTTGAACGGGTATGATGTGATTCTGAGATCGATTTGGAAGATCATCACCTCATATGCTGAGACATATTAGAAGCATCAGGGAAAAAATTCTTGAATATGTTTTATAGAGTTGTGAACAAGTATCTTTTTTTGGTCGTTTTATGAGACAAAATGATCGAGCATTTTTCTTTGCTTTTGAATGTGATGTTGTTGCAAATGATGTTTATTGAAAGTTCAACATCATTGAAACTAGTTGTGGGCATTCTCCAGTGCAGATTTAAGATAGCGGAAGAAGCAACGTTCAGCAAGTTTGAATATGAATTCTTTTATTTCATCGATGGATTTATATTATATAGTGAAAGTTTAGAGCGTAATATTAATGTCATCATCCTCTCTTCCGTACTCTAGACATCAACAAGAAATATCTCATGGATGGAAAAAAGTAGATGAGGTGATAAACTCAAGAATGCATTGTCTCTATTATCCATCCAAGAAAGTTAATGAAAATCACTATCGTGCAATATCTGAACATTGTGGCAAGGTCGACAAATTGTAACATCATGTTTTGCATTGGTGTACTTTAAATTATGGAAGTAAAATTGAGTACATGCGTGTTGTAGAGAGATATTTAAAGAGTTGACTTACATCAATCCAATCATCAATTGCATCGAAACTAAATTTGAAGATACAAGTTTTTTTTTGCAGCATGAGCAACAATATTTTCAAAAGTTTTTTAGTCCATTGATGAATGCAGAAGTACAGTTGAATCATCATCTACAATTTTCAGACTTCTAGATCACCTCCAACAATGCATTCAATGTTTGTTCCAACAAGGAACTCGTAGTGTTAATTCATGATCTCAAAAGTAAGTACACCGTTCTCTAAAGAAAAAGTGATATAATTGACTTTTACAAAAGACACACAGCAAATGTTTATTGGAGCTTGAAGATCAACTTAAGAACAATAACCAACAAATTGACTTTGAAAGATTTGAAGCTTAATTTTTACAATAATGATGATCTTAAGAACAAATTTGATATGTATTTTGATTTTGTTAGATATACACTATAATATTTTTCAAATGTCAATGTGACTGCATTGAAGAAAGAGGCATAATTAATAGATGAAAAAAACTATAGTGTAGATGATTTGCAAATTTTTTATTATAATATCTTCATTTCTTACACATGTTATAATAGTAAGTATTTTGAAGTTAGTAAATTATAGTTATGAACTTCTAAGTCTCTTACAGTTCGCAAATCATTGTAAATTCATGTATATGTGATTTAGCCATTTTTTTACATTCATGTCTTGCATTTGTTTACTTATAGATGTTTAATAAATTCTTGGGTCCGGAAATTACATAATCTTCAAACAATTTCAAGCAGTCGTATTTTTTGTGTGTGCTTACCGTTAGCGAACCATCTCTTTTGAAATTTTTCATATTAAAAACCATGCAAGCTGAGAAGTAAGATGCTTTGTGTCATGGTTAAAGTTTTACTAGAAGCATAAATTGAGAGCTTAAGTACATTGTTCCTCACTCTCCTCAACACCAATTGTACTTGTGCTTTCAACATCACTACCAATATTGTTACCATGTACTTCTGTGTGAGTTGCCGATTCTACTTTCAGCAACACTATCGAATACGATTGTCCTAGTAACGTCTGAGTTGTCATTTGCAACAGCATTATTATTGTTAGATTTTTGTGTGAGTTGCTATTCTTAACACATATTGACATGTTAGTCAAGTATATAGATTTTCCAAAATGTACAATATAATTAATAAATATATGATTTATGTAGTTTCTTGATATATATGTTATATTTCACAATTAATCTTTAGTCACACTAAAGAATTTGTATATCAAGTCAATAAATTGTAATAAAATTGTTCATAAGAATCAATAAGCATTTTAAATATCTTTCAAGTATACAAAAATAACCATTCATTATATTCAGATTTATTTTTCAAAGAAAGATTCACTAATATACAAGATTTCAAACTCAATGAACCATAAATATGATCTAACTAATATCAAGTAATATTATTTCATTTCACATATGTAATGTCATGATCATCATGCTATAATTTTTTTAATAGTAAATTTGAACTATTAAAAAAAAAATTTGACAAATGTTTATTGTTTAGCAGTTTAATTTCATCCATCATTGTTTATATCATGCTTTTTATAACTTATATTTAGTTTTGAATATTTTCATAATACAAAGTTAGATATTGGTATCAAAAGTGAAAATGATTACTAAGATAAATACAAACAAAATGTTATTATGATCACTTACAAAAAATTTGAATTTATTGTAAATTAAAAATATAATATATTCATATTTTAAACATCAATCATCATCACAATTTCATACATACAAACTTAACAGATCATACAACTAACTAACAAATTTTTTGATACATCAATATTTTACTTTTTTAAAATTTTGAATTTTTTAAAAAATATCAAATATTTTTGGGATTATTTTTATCATAGAAAATCAAACACATATTTTCATAATTATTTGACACCTTCACAAAAAATAATTGCTTCATTTATCCATGCCAAAAAAAAATTCATTTATGCTTAAAACTCATTAATATATATATATATATATATATATATATAGTTATCATTAGTCACAAGCATTAATAAGAATTTTTTAATACAAATACATGCATATTGGATTATTTTATAACCCATATGCATAATAAAAAATCCATTTGATATCAAAATAACTTAATAATTAGATTTATAAACATGAAAACACAATTTACTCAATAATTTTTTACAAACTATCACAATCTATGTATCAAAATTAAATTATCAATAAAATAAATAAAAATTTTAAAAATAAATTTCAAGCTTTTTTAGCTTTGAAAAATATAACAAAAACTTGTAAATTAAATTTTCAATTAAACTTGTTATGACATGACTTACATCAAAGGGGAATTAATAATCTTTAAAATTTCATGTGGATCATATTGAAGATGAGATGTATTTATTCTTATAAATATCAAATTATTTCAAACATTTTTTACAATGTGTCTATTATACATGTCAATTATAAAACTAATGTACATGCTATCTATCACGGAATAAAAAAACACAATGAGTTAAACAACAATTAATTTATTATTTCAATCATTATTGAATTTATAATATATATGACTTATGAGGATTTCAAAAAATCAAAAATATTTTAAATGTTTTTTCAAATTTGATATTTATATATTTATAACTCAAAATAATATTCATTGCAATGTTACAAATCAAAATGTACTTAACTATTATAAGATTTAACTATAGTAATCAACCATCATAATACTCATCATTGTAAATGTAAAATGTGAGAATCATCAACCAATCATGAAAGACAGATGTAACGTGGCTCAACCTCGGGAGAGGAGGGCTACGTCCACCAGAAACATCGATACACCTTATACTCAAGGTTTGTCGAAAATGATTTACTGTACAATGCAGAGTCCAGGTTATTTAACCCCTAGTCCAGACGACGTGTTAGCTATAAATAGCCAGGTCCAGATGTTACTACTAAACCTGAGTTAATCTCAACAATCATGAGGTAATACATTTATTTATTGCTAAAAAAATCTTTGATAAACAAAACTTTAGTTGTTGAGTGTTTTTAAATTGCTTTAGATTTGTATATTGAATGTCAAGATTGAACATAGAGTGTGCTTTTTCTAACCAATTTCAAACATGCTTGTCACAATGTTGTAATAGTAGAGAGAATAATAACAATCATTGCGGCTTGACATATAACAAATGTATCATATCATAAGCACATGAAAAATGACTTTTGAACAACACACGAATTTTGTCAAATGTGCATAAGATTTAATACATCATGTTAAATTATCACAACTAAAACTATATGTTATGATTTAAACTCTATGAAAATTCATCTTGGAAGTGCAAAATTATGAAGATTTAGATCATATACATTTAACAATCAAATATAGAAGTTTTGATCACATCTATTAGTATTAGGTTGTTGTGAAATTGAAAGTGATAGAGTGCTTAACTAATTCTCAATTTGTATAGAGTTGGATTGAGTAAGATATTAGGTGAATAAATTTGATTATACATCTATCATTTATATCAAAAATTTATTTGTTATAAATTTGGTATATCCCTAAACCCTAAATCTAAATCTTAAGTTTATTTTTATTTTTATAATAAAATAAATATTTCATTTATATATTTTTTATGATATTTTTAGAAAAATGTATATTTATTTCAAAAATTAAGTCTGGAATATTATTATCTAATTATTTAATATAATCATGATAAATTTCAATTCCTATTCAAAGTATCAAATTATTCCAAAGAGTTAAAGGATAAATATGAAAAATTATGATAATTTTTGCATAAGTAAAAAATACACAAATCAAATGATGATGCTTTAGAAAATAGATATATACATTCTGAAAATAATATGAACTGTGAAGTTAACAAGAGTATAGTAACTTTTATTTGTATTTTTTCATGCTATACTTAGTTTTTTTTAAATGAGCTTAATTTTGAAATTTAATTGCAATTATCACATATTACAAAAGTGATACACATTTTTCAAATCAAGAAAAATTAAATTTAAATAAATAAAAAATTTATATTTATGTCTAAGATTCATATAATAAATAAAAATAATAAAAAAGTTTCATTTTTGGTTTATTTCATTGAATATTTTATGTGAAACGTGAATATTTTTCATAACATTTCTTTAGACATATTTGTGTGTTTTTTTTGAATTATTTTGAAATAAGAGGCTAAAATACTAAATATATGGGAAATCAATTTCTTGAAATACTCAAAATAACCAAAAATTGTAAACATATTTAGATATTAAAATTGTGGAGAAAAAAATATGATTGTGTCACATATTTATCACAAGTTTATAATTGTTTACCAGACTTTTAAAACGATAAAGACAATATTCATGCATAAATATACGTATCAAATCTTGTCTATCAACATGAGTCTTATATGTTGATGGTGCTAAATGAGTCATACCATGAATTAAACATGTTTTTTTTCAGAGGTTAAAAATCTCTGTTTGTGTTGTATGTGTATTAATACATCTAGTTGCAACATATCATAGTTGAATTTTAAACCTTATTTATTATCACAATAAATAATTTCTCTTTGAGAAATCCAATATAAAGCTTAGTACGGTTTTAGAAAAGTTTAGAATAAAATAACAATATGGATCAAGAGATTAATTGCTGCTTTATCACAATGCTTTTTCTGTGATCTATTAATATTCCATTACTTGTATCTCAATCTAGCATAGTGAAGTATATTTGAGATTTTAATTCAATTTTCATTATTTTCCAAATGGAAAAAATGCATGCATGTTATGTTATGATCACCTTATAAATCTAGCTGTAATAGATGAAGCTTTTTTGTTTCCCATCAACATAAGACTCACGTTGTTCGTATTACTTTCATCACAATTTATTATGTTATCATATATGTTATAAGACGGCAAAGAATAAGATCATGGAAATTCAGACTTTAAATTACAAATAACATTTTCCTTTATGAAATATATTAATATGATAAATATATATTATATATAAAAATATTATTATATACTGAGAAAATAAGCCTACGTATTTTTTTGATTTTGAAATTAATTCAAATTGTTCGAATTGATATAGAATTTTGTATAAAAGATGAGATAATGTAATCATAATAGTAGATTTAAATAAATTTAAAAGTTACAATTAATCTTGTTCAATTATTGAAATTTACTACATCATGAGGTTTTTTCTCAGTCTCATTAATTAAATGAGAATCTTTAACGAAGTTGCACATGAAGAAAAAAGAATTGAATCTAGCAGAGGATCCGTAGATCCGTCTCAGACCGCCACCCCCCATAACGAATATCAGCCGTCGATCGAAGAACATCGAGGCGGGACGTCCGATCCACTCCATCGGACTAAACGCTTGACGGACGGACGCAAACAGGTCATCTCTCTCGTGTGTCCATCTACCTATTCAGAAGGCTCGAACTCGAGGCGACCCGGAGCATTCCTACCTTGGCCAAATCCAGGGCACCAGGCAGGGCGCGGGCCAAGTTGGCGAGGGCGCAGCGGAGCGGGACGGAATGTCGTCCCAGGCGTTGATGTGGTGCATGCCGCCGGCGAACTATCGCAAGAAGCGGTACAAAGTCCGGGACAAGGGCCCGTCGCACCTTCAGCGCTACGGCGGCCGAACGGCGCCCATCCCCGACTCGTTCATCCAGAACGCGACGTGCAGGTCGGGCCGGCCGGGCTACCCCGCGCACATGTTCGAATTCTTCCTGCAGTTCCCTGTTTTCTGCGGCACGGATCTCTGCCCTTTCGGCAAGGGCCTGGTGCAGAATGGCGTGTTTCTAAGGGGCCTGCGCAACCGAGTCGGCGGCCCGAGTTGCTTCGCCCAGGCGCTCTGTGACAAGAAGAAGCAGCTCTGCGAGGGCAGCACCAGGATGGAGGAGGGATTGGACTCCGATGGCAATACTTTCTCCACCCGCGAGGTCATGTGGGAGATCTACACCGGCGATGAGAAAGGCCGGGACGAGTGGTATACCAAGGGTGTGAATTATTGGAGTGTACGCTTCTTTTCTTCTTCTTCTTCTTTCCTCCTTCGTGATTCTTCTGCATTTGTGTTCGTGCTGGTGAGATCCATTGCCGTAAAAAAAATTTCGACGGATGGAGGGCGGAGGAATCAATTTGTTGCCTGAATGTGGGTCCTTGACGTACTGCCGACCGTGTGTTTTCGTCCTGTGATCTTACATTCTTTCCGCTTTCACTCGTGCCATATCGTTATGTTTTTGGAGTTTGTCATCTTTGTGTCACGGCTGCAGCGCCGAAACGAATAATATTACTCAAGCACGACTAGGATAAGGACATATATGCATGACATTTTCCTCCAGACAGTTCTGCCTGATAAACCCGGCGGGAGAGAGGTTGTCATCTTTATGTTGGGCCATGGATAATTTACCATGTAACACATGTAGGAGCATCGAAGTAGTCTTACCAAGTACTGATATAATTAAAACTAGGCGAAGAACTGCCGAGGGTGAATGAGGCTATTCCAAGACTCATCATCTTCAGAGGACTTTAAGTAATCAAAATAATATTATTTAATAATTTAAATAACTTTATGTAATTGATTGGATGAACGTAGTTGGTTCAAATTCAAGAGTTCACTTTTAATAGAAGACTTGCACCGGTCTGTGGATATTCGATCAGATACTAAAGAGCTGCAAATGTAGGACATTTATTTATGATCAGCTGAGATTAATTCGTTACATTCAAAGTCCCAAACAGTCTGAACTGGATTAGCTCTGCCTTACATTGTTATTTGCGGGATGTTTTGAGTTTATCCATTGGAGGCCAAAAGTGATTCACGACTTTTTTGCTCTTTTGAAATGTAACCCAATATACATCCCAGTTTAACACAAGCATTTAGAGGATAATAACATTACACCTGTGTAAAATCGCGAATAGAGAAGGTTTTTGAGTGCAGGCCGCTCTTACTAGGTATTTCTAGACGAAATTGGAAGGAGGCAAATACTCATTTCTGACGTTTCTATCCTTGCAACCGACAGGCTGTGGAAGCGAGTGTAGATGGTGTTCTCGGCGGGTATGGTAAGATTAGTGGACGTGATGTTTTGGACAGTAACAAGTTCCTCATGGATTGCTTCAAGACCTTAATACCGGATGCTCGGGATCAGCAGTTGACCGCACTTGGTGAGCACCAGCCTGTTCCATTTATACACCTGGATTTTCGTTCAATGTTATATGAAAGCTCTCCAGTTTTTTTGTTGCAATAGAAGAATTTTCAAGGTGTTTAATCTGATATAGCTGTTTCATATTGTTCGTAGATTGTGGAGCCGGTGTTGGTCGCGTTACGAAAAATCTTCTCGTTCATCATTTTTATGAGGTACTGCTTATTCCTCGTGTTTGTATCACGCTTGTCATCTTTGAGTCTCATGGATGTTGTACAAGGTAACAAATTTAGCAGCGTTGAAGTAGTCTTATCAATTAGTGACACATTTCGTATTAGCAGGATGAATTGCGAGTGTGAAAGAGCCCATTGTTCACCTCTGAGTTTTCCATCAGGAAATGTTGACTTGTAATTTTGTACGTGACTCTTGTTATTTAATTGTATCATGCACCAGAACTACCCAACATTGCTGCTCTTTAAGCAGTTTTTGTATCATGGTCAGTCCATTTTAGTTTTTGTCTTTGTCTTTTCGATCTCAAAGTCCTAACAATGTATTGGGTGGTTAGGTCGATCTTGTTGAGCCTGTACAGCAGTTTCTGGATGTTGCTCGACAAGAATTACACTTCGACTTCGTTGGCACTAAGTTGAAGAATGTTAACTTCTATCATAATTCATTACAGGTTGTTATCAAAGTTGACCCTCTGAGTGTTCTCATTGTTAATACTCGGGAAGCTTAATTTTTACACCCAACGAATCCGTTCTGGCCCCTGTAGGAATATCAACTGTGTGAAAAACTTTCTACAAATTCATATACATGGTTCTGTTTCGTACAATCTGAGTAAGAGAACTGGTTAGTCTGAATTCTATTAGCAGGGTACGGTATTAACGGGCATGTTTATCCATATGTGCGGAGCAGGATTTTGTACCTCCAGAGGGTCGATACGATGTCATCTGGATACAGTGGTGCATAGGTCACCTCACTGATGCTGACGTTGTAGAGTTTTTTTGCCGAGCCAAGGTAATTGAGGATATAGAGTTGCAGACATGCATTTCTTCCAACTTGAGAATTTGTAGGGTATGTCTATATGTAGAATTCAAAGGATGTCTATTTGTGCTGAACGGAAGTTGGATGTTGACGCAGCTTGGACTCAAACCGGGCGGTTTTATAGTATTGAAGGAGAATATAGCAAAATCAGGTAGGCTCATCTTTTCAGGGTCTTTTTCAGGCTCATCTTTTCAGGGTCAATCATTTTTATAAGTGATTACTTCCATTAGGCGAGCAACTTATACAGTGAGCGAAAGTAATTTTGTATTCGTGGTCTGTTTACATTAGTAAGTTGTGTTCTGGTTGATGTAAGATCTCTGTCGTGTCAATAAGCAAGTGACAGGCAGGCGGGCTGATGTTTTGCCTGAAAGAGGAATGAAAAAGAAGAACTAAATCGGAGGCAAGTTAGGAAACAGAGTCAAGTTAGCAAAGCAAGAAAATAAGTCACGTAATTGAAAAGTTTGGTTCTTGACAGTAGGTGTTATTGAAAACACCACAGGGCGCCAACGGCTAAGCATCAATATAGTCAGTGCTAAACCCCCCTGCTTTGTTGAAACCTCGATGCACCTTTCTCTCTCTTCTAGAAGTTTTGTTCTTGAAGCTTTGCGTCGTGTGAATGGCAGGGTTCGTTCTCGATAAAGAGGACGCCAGTGTGACTAGATCGGACGAATATTTCCGGGATCTATTTCAGCAGGGTGGACTCCACGTTTATAAACATCGGGTATTTATCCAGGGATGCCCACGTCCTCGGTGACTTGTTCTAAATAATGCACAGCTTTCTATCTCTATTTAAATGTAACTTGTGTATGTCTGCTTTCAATACTCGTTCGTTTATTAGGCCTCATCTGTCATCTGCATCTGTTGGTTTTTTGAAGTAGTTTTCTGTTCTCTCTTTCCTTTTCTTCTTGTTTTTCCTTCTGATTTCTAAATCTTGTGAACTCGAAAGAACTGCGGCATGGCAGTTATTCGCCTCTAGGAATAATTCAAAATAATATTCGTTAGCTTATTTTCCTTTACTAGACTTCTCTGCGTTATTTCTTCCACCGAGGAAAAAAGAATCCCAATGAACTTCGTCGTCCACCTTCTATGTCCGCGAGTTTTAGCTGTTCTCGAGATTGACATTTGTTCTGCTTGAATTACTGGACTGTGCAGACTCAAACTGCATTTCCTCGAGAGCTTTTTGCCGTTCACATGTATTGTTTGACAACAGAGTTCAAGAAAAAGAAGAAGAAGACTAAGAAGGCCGGAAAGAAAGGGAACACACCTGGAGTGATCAAGTAGGTTCGATATACCGCAGATCCTTTAGAACTGAATTATTCTCTACATTTTCGAATCAGTCGTATACCGCATTTTAGGGATTAGCTGTGATGGCCTTAATTTGCTTCTGACTGGAATTAATATAGTTAGCTCATGATGCTGGGCGCCACGAGAGTGTATGGCCTGTAAATATAGAAGTATTTTCGAGGGATTTCAGTCTTCTGGTCCAGTTTTTTTCACATCGAAGTAAGTATGATTGGGAGAGTTTGTGTAGGGATGAGAAGCGGGAATTTGATCCGGGCTTAGTCCCATCTACATCATCTGGGGTGGATTATGAAGAGTAGATCGTAGGGTAAAACTTTCCATACTACCCTCTCAGTGGAATTGGTTCCATATCTTGAACCCAGGAAGTTTTCAAACTTTCTTGTGTCAGCAGCTCATCAATTTTGACAGTAAAGGCAGAAGGCTTTTTATGAGTACACAGTCCGCACAGCAGGTCCTCGTCTTGTGCACAGCAGTCTATTGCTCCTTCGGGTCGCTCAGATATGAAGATGTATCAGATTGTGGTGATCATATTGTACATGACGAGAAATAAGTACTACCTATCACATTGGTCCCACCGCAGCACTATAGCAGAGCATGTCACTATATTTCTTTCTTACATCTATGTGCCAAGCATTGTACAGGAGGAAAAAGAGGAGGGAAGAGCAACAGGGCCCTCCTGATCCTCTTTCCAGGTCCCTGTGGGGATGGGGTTGGGGTGCTGCCTTCTCGAAAGAGAACGAAGGTGCTCTACGTAATGGACGCCAGCCCGTTCAAGCAACTGAACGTCCTGTAACATTGTCCGCCTGCTCGGAATCGGCGTGGGGAACAGGTGGCTGATTGCGGCCGGATGACGAAATCAACAACATTATACTTTGCTCGGATTGGAGTAGACTGTGTTCGTCTTGTTGATGTGCAAACCGCAGATGACTTATTGGGTTCTCGCTCAGAAAGGATCATTCCAGTGAACGCGACAATCTAGCAGAGGAAGGTAAGGAGCTTACTGTACTCCTGTGCGTTTATCGGGTCTTAACGTCCTGCAGGGTTATCAACTAGACCGAAGCCGCGGAATGCTGTAGAGCCAAGATTGTATTGACGGTATTGATGTCCATCCTCCGTACGTAGTCTGGGGAATAGTCCGGGGTTTACCAGACGCTAGCTTGACTGAGAACCAACTACCTAAGATGATCTCACATCCCATTTCTCTCATCCTCTGGGAAGTCGAGACCGAACTGTGGATGGGTCCTTTGAGATACGGCTGGAAACACACTCTGCAGTCTGGTCACAACTCGAGGTAATGCTGGAAAATAAAACTGATGATGACCACTTCAATGACGGGATAATAAGACAATCGTCATATGCGGCCACAAGGTGGTAGAAGATCTCTAGCATGACTACAAATGATGTATGTAATCAATTCCATGCACAATAGCGGACTTGAAGAACGTAACAAATTGAAAGAAGCTATTAACATGAAGGAGATAAAAGTTTTCAAAGCACGGAATGAAAATAAGATTCTTACGAAATACGGTTGACGGTTTGACGGTTTTCATAGAGAGAGTTGACTATGGGTCTGTGTAATTGGATTGTTCGCGGACTGCGCTGTATAATACCATATAATACCAAATCAATTATACATCATTAAGAGATCCATCACAGTCCAACCCATTCGTCCATCAACTCCTTATCCCGAAGATATCCTTGTCATTTATCCCGTCTATGCCCTGAGATATGTTAACACTATCAAATTCATCAAGGCTATCACCACCAGCTTCTTCATCCTCGTAGACGAGATCCACTTCATGTTCAGATTCATATCCACTATCAGAGTAGAGTTGGTGAAGCTAATTGCAGAATTTTGTATCCGTCGTTGAAGTGATTTGACGATTTAGTTGTTCCAAATTGAACAGAATGGCTTTTCCGGTCTCGATCTTGTGCTTGCCCAACTGAGCCCATGAGCGACTATGAACGCATTTGGCCTCCTTGTGATTGCGCTCACCCGTCGGATTCTTGTGCAATGCAGACAATCCATCTTTTGATGGCACCGTAGTAATGGTCGTCAGATAAGGTCCACAGAAAGCTTGAAGGTGATGTAGTTGAAATCATCATCTTTGTACATTGAGCGCACAATAAACGTGGCAAACTCGCTAAAGAGTTTTTTTCGTAAGTCGACATTGCCATTTGCAAGACAGTTGACTGCGGCCTTCGACTATTGGTTGATTGAAGTCTTCCCCGATTGCAAGAATTCTTGGTTGAATTTCGTCGCGATTCTACTGCGTAGAGGGGTGAATAATGGATCGGAAGCAAATGCTAGAGCATGGGCTTTCGTGTAAATTGTCGAGAAACGGTGATGAATTATCGTCACAATCCGTTCGATATCATGTTGAGTCAAATTCAATGCGTTTTTGACAATGGAATTCAACGTCTTAACGTGAAATTTTATCGCCACAAAGCAGGCCTACACAACAAAAAATGTAGCTTAATCTTCTTCCAAATATGTTAAACATGAGCAGATTGTCCTAAACAGTGCTTCAATCGCAGACATGCTCTTCCAATAAGACTCATCTGTAACCAATGCTTTCAGTTTGTGGGATACATTAATGTCATAATCGGCATTAAGAATTTCACCTGACAACGATGCACATGCCGATTTGACAGTGCTGGCACGCTGAGCGGCGTAGTAGACAGTACCACAATCGAATCTTCGTGAAGAGTATTAACACGTACGTCTTCCTATATTTTTCAATGCAAAGCCTGTCGAACAACTCTAGTAGAAGATGGGCCGACTTGAACGTCTTCACCATGAACATAATCTGTTCTAAAAGCCGATTCACTCCTTGAAAATGTCTGCACAAATCCATGCAAAGGTTGTGAATCGCATGGAGTGCACAGCGGTAGGTAAACATGAACTTGTTCGACTTAAGATATTCCTTGCGCAGCTTAACCATGACATTTGGTGAATCGCTGCAGAAGCAAAACATCGGTGGAATAACGAAGTGTTCATTCTTGCTGCAGGGCAACCTTTCTTCACCCTGCTGTTCTACGATTTCAACATCGTTGTTGAGCTTTGCAATCCTTTAGATATTTCTTGATAAGACAAAACCAGGAGCCAGCTTACAGATATTTTCCAAAAGACGCAGCTTGCAATCCAAAACTTTCTCCAACAAATTCACCGCACTTTCTCTATGCAGTTCCATTGTAAAATGTTCCAAGAACATTGCAATTGATGAACAAGCCATCAGGTTGATCACCTACTTGCCTTGCACATTCGTGGCACCATCCAACGTAAGGCAAATAAGCGGCATCTTGCTCAGTGCGAGAAGAACATCGTTCATGACATATACGTATTCATCTCGCATCAATTGACCACCAATAGCTTCTGTAGAAGTAAGTTGAAAGCAGCCACGAATCGACGTAAAGAAAAGCTTCCATGTTGGATGCTCAAATGCAACAAATGACATAGCCGTGCAGTGAACAACACGGGCAAATAGTGTATCGAGCTTCTGCTGTTCGTCCTTCTTCAAGATATCAAAATGCTTCCGACCGCCGGAGAAAAAATCGTTCTCAGAATCATTTGGGGACACTGACTTGCTCTAGTTGTTGCTGGCTGGAGCCGATGAACTAACTGTCAATGTTACCATCTTCTTTCGAGATGGCTGGAACCCAACTTCCAACTGGCCTATTGACCGCGGCCGTTTCTTACAGCCAGCATAATGATCGCGCATGCGACCCACTGCTGCAATCACCGGTTATTTGCAAGAGTGTGGTAACACACTTTTTGTTTTTTTTGCAGAATTTAAACAATCTTGAAAAAGAAGTACCGAAGCAGTGTCTGTAGTTAAGAAATGGTACATTAAATAGAGTGTATTGAGGAGATCGCGGGTCACGGAGTGGGACGTACCGGCGCCAAACGCCTTCGGCGCCTTCGGCAAGATCTCCTTTGCTGAGGTGTCTTTACCCACGCGCCTCCAGCGCTTAGAGAAGGTACACTTCCGGCACGGACACCTCCGGAGGAGATGTCGCTGAAGACGTCAGAAGCCGGCAAGGACCTCTAAAGGCTCCCGACCATGAGTGCGCCTTCGGCGATGCGCCGTTGGCGCGGGAAAGAAACCTTCATAACGATCAGGATTCACGGTAGTTCTAGTTGGTTGAGGTCTCATTGGAAAGAGCTCGGGACGCTCGTTCTAACGAGCCCAAGAGCGCCGGAGATGGATCAGGGACGAGGAAGTTATGAGCGTCGGAAAACTCGCATCCGGAGATGCGCTAGGGTTCACCTTCGGGAAGGACCCCCGTACGCCTTCGGCGATGCGCCTTCGGCGGAACCACGCGCTCATGAGAGGAGATCAAGTCGGAGGCGGAAGCGCCTTTGGCGACTGCGCAGCGGAAGAGAAGCGCCGGCCTGATGTACGCCTCCGACGTGGCGCGGACAGGCGGGTGCGCTGGCTTAATCCGTGCCGGTGGGATATGCGCCGTCGGCGATATGCGGGGCAGAACGGACAAAACAAGTGGTAAAAGTACGCGTCGGCGTAATTTGCGCCGACTTGATGTGCGCCTCCAACGAGGCGCCGACGGAGAAGGAGTACGCATGCGGCGATACGCCTCCGGCGATGGGCAGGTTGGGAAAAGACAACATAGTCGGAGCGTACGCTCCACTGCGGCGAACTCGAGTCCGGAAGCCCTCGGCGATGGCGAACTCAGAGCCGGAGGACGATGGCGGCGGGAGAATTCAACGTTCACGCATGCGAATGCGCGCAGTGCGGAGTCGTGAATTCGAGCATGCGAGGGAGAACCGTTAGGCCGTATAGCCGGCTGCGTAATCAAGTTTGATTGTACCCAGTGAGAGCGTTGTGCGATCTTGAATTCGGAGAAGAAAAGTCTGCTCTCCAGTCTCATTCTCTCATTCTTGATTGTGAGTTTTCCAGCTTCAGAGCTTGAGCGCGCAAGGGCGGAGAGACCTTCAGTGAGTTGGAGAGAGTGCAGGAATCAGTGAGCAGGAAGGAGTGCGCAGCAACCAGGCGCGCGGAGGCGAGTTGCGCGAGGATCCTGACGGACCCCGGAGAGAGTTTGCGAGTAGAGAGATTGAGCGCGCAAGGAAGGAGAGAGCGATTTCAGTTAGTGTCTGAGCGGTCGACGTGCAGCGGCGATTGTGAGAGATCGAGCGGGAGGGAAGAACGTCTGTGTGTGCAGGGAGAGCAAGAAAGATGTTGAAGGTCCCCCAACTGCGAGTGTCTCCACTCAGAGTGCCGCATATCGGTCTGCGCGCATTCCAAGATGTGTTGACAAGGTTGAAGCTTGATTTCCTCCTGTGGGGATGGAATTGGACGTGTCCGGAGATGGTGCGCGAATACTTGCGGGAGAAACACCAGCCCTCGCGCGGATTCCGCTCCCACCCCGAGAGGTGGAACATTAGTCACTGGGCGCAGGTATTAGGAAGGTGTGCAGGCGAGGAAGGGTATCTCCTCTTTGAGGCCGAGAGCGTGAAGGTGTCGAAGGAGGAAGAAGTCTCCTACAATGATCTTTTCAAAGTTGGCAAGCATCCCAAAAACGGTTTCCGGACGCGGGATTACAAAGATCGATTGCGGAGAAATGTCGCGACTGCATTGCTTCTGATATTGCAGCCGACCAAGACCGCCTACATGCATGGCTGGCAAGTGGGATTTGTGGAGCTAGTGTTGTCAGGAGCTCCGGTTCATTGGGCACGGCTCCTGTGGAAGGTGACGCGCCAACATGCGCAAGAAGAGAGAGGAGGGACCCTCAATCATCTTTCGCCTTACCTGATCGTGTTTTATCGAGCGATGGGATGTTTGACAGCTTCAGAGCGGGCGCGGTTTCCGCTGCTGACCCGGAGTAATCCGGGTAGATACTTGCGGGAGGCTGAAGTGGATACTGATCCGGACGAAGCACCGGCCAGTCCAGCTCCGGCTCCGGCAAGAGCAGAAGAAGGGCATCGAAGTGAGCGCGCACCGCGGAAGCGGAAATGGGATGAGAGACCAGAAGACAGGCAGCCGGAAGCTCCCGCTGCGCCGACTCGGAGTCGGCCAACCCACGAGCTTCACAGCCGGCCGAAACAGAGGGCACGCAAGATGGTGTTGCCAACTAGTAGTGAGGAGACCGGGCGTACTCCGGTCCGGCGGAGTGTCCTGCCCACGCAGGAGGAGATAATCGCGCAGGTTCTGGGGAGGTCGGTGAACCCCTCTGCGCAGAAGGCGCGGATGCCTTCAGAAGAAGACAGGCGAACTGACAGTCGGCCGACTGCGAGTCGGGCGACTGAAGGTCGGCCAACTGCAGGTCGGCAAGAGCAGCGCGTTGAACCGGACAGCAGGCCGGAAGCAGAAGGGAGTTTGGCTGAAGAGCCAACAACTCTCAGAGAGTCGTCTTCGGCAGAAGACGCTTCTGAGAAAACGCCTCCAGCAAAGAGGCCAAGTGGAGTAAAGACGTGCAGAGTGGATCCGACTGCCAGTCGGACAACTGCTAGTCGGCCGACTGCGAGTCGGTCAACTAAGAGTCGGCCAGATTCGCCGACTACGAATCGGACAGGACCAGCGACCATTGTGCGGGCGCCTTCGGCGGACACACCTCCGGCGAAGACACCTTCTGCGCAGATCGCGCCGGAAGAGCAGGCAGTAGAAGCGGGCGGTGCAGAGGTGACAAAAGTAACTGCGGCGCCGACCCCTTCGAGAACCGAAGATCGAGCCGGAACAGAGGCTCAGGCAGTGGGATCCTCCACTGCCTTGGATATTTTAGCAGGGAGTGGAGCGGCAGTCGCGGC